ATATGGATGCTGTAAACCTTTTCTAATGGCATCGACGCGAACAAATACAAATTTGCAAGTGAGCAGACTCTTGTTAACTTGAGCTTTCTGAAGTGATTGGCGAGCGGCTACTGGTCGAAGCTGAAGCATCTGCTGGGTAAGGCGGTTGGTGAAGTCGAAAATATTTACATCAGTTGAATCATTAGACGGAACTAACTGACCAGGCAATGTGAGGGTAGTACCATACACAAGTTGAGATGGTGTACATCCCAAATCTTCTTTTACAGTTGATCGGATACTGAGAAGAACCAATGGTAGGTGTTCACTCCACTTAGATGAGTCAGCTTGTGCCATGAGCGAGCTATTCAGTTGTCGATGGAAACGTTCCACCAGACCATTCGCTGCAGGATGATAAGCAGTAGTGGAGATATGGTTCACCCCAAGGAGTCTCGTAAACTCTCGAAACAGAGTTGATTGAAATTGAGCTCCTCGGTCTGTTGTAATAGTTGTTGGTACTCCATAGTTTGACACCCAACGATCTAAGAAAACCAAAGCGGTATTTTCTGCGGATATGTCTTTGAGCAGACAAGCAATAGCCCATAGGGTAAATCGATCAATAGCAGTAAGTATATGAGTAAACCCTCCGGATGGCAGTAATGGTCCAAAAATATGTTAAACATATTTTGCTATCGACTGTAAATTGTGACTGAATAATATGGTCCTATTTCTGTAAGAATTTGATGATACCTGTAAACTGGCGTCCCACATGTGTTGCATCATGAGAATCAATCTATTTATTTATTTAAATGAAATAAACATTTCTCTGATTTCCAAATAACACAACAATGAACTATAATTCGAGAATTCTGTACACAGTAAAATTATGTATGAAAACTGACTTCAAGCTTTATTTTTTTTCCCAGGCACTTATAACCCATCCACCAAAGACCTCGTTTTTTTGTTAATGCGAAGACAATACCTCTGTATTTCCTGATGTGTTGCACTCACTGAAAATCTAGCGGATTTTTCCAACTATGCACAGAAACGATTGTACATAAGTGAAAAGGATGTTTTATACTATTGGGATTAACACTTATCAAGTGTATGTATAATCTCCAGTGTACATGTTAAACATGTTTTGCTATCGACTGTAAACTGTGACTGAATAATATGGTCCTATTTCTGTAACAATTTGATGATGCCTGTAAACTGGCGTCCCTCATGTGTTGCATCATGAGAATAAATTTATTTATTATTTATTATCTATATGCACGTGTTGAAATCGTCCATCCGGTAAATTGAACTGTTTTGGAGGTGTGACGGTATGATGATGTACGTTGGATCTTTGAAATTGCAAGCATTGGCGGGCCCATTTCCGAATATCGGAGTTCATCTTGGGCTAAACAAAACGCTCGCTGATCAACTTGACCGTAGCACGCACTCCAGGATGAGACAAGGAATGTAGATGTTCAAACAAAGGTTTTCGACAAATTAGTGGAACAAAAGGTCTATGAACGCCAGTTGAAACGTCGCAGACGACAGTTGTATCAGACAGGGGAATAGGTACATCCTGCAACTGTAGGGAGGAGTTTCGTCTACAAGTATGGAGTTCGGCGTCATTTTTCTGCAGCTTGGCTATATTGTCTAAGCTAATATCTATCGAAGATAGAAGGTGATTAACGTCACATTTAGACAAAGAATCGGCTAGGATATTGGAATCTCCTTTGATGAACTGGATGTCTGTTGAGAATTGTGATATGTAATCCAGTTGTCTGGCTTCTCTCGGAGAGTGTCTGTCCAACGAAGTGGCGAAAGCATAGCAAAGAGGCTTATGGTCGGTTAAGATAGTAAAATGTCGACCTTGTAGTGGGAAGCTGAAATGTTTAACTGCTAGGTAAATGGCTAACAGTTCTCTGCCAAAAGTGCTGTAACGAGTTTGCGCAGGTTCCAACTTTTTGGAGAAGAAAGCAAGTGGAGTGATGTCATTATTGAACTTTTGTTGTAAAACTGCTCCCACTGCTACCTGCGATGCATCTGTACATAGAGTGAGTGAAGCTTCTGGGTTGATATGAGATAACATTACAACGTTGGATGAGGCATCTTTTGCATTATTAAATGCAGCTTTTGCTTCTTCAGACCACTGAAATTTCTTTGAATTGCATCTAAGTAGGTCGGTCAGTGGCTGAACTATGGAGGCACATGATGGAATAAAACGTCGGTAGAAGTTGAACATCCCGAGAAAACGTCTAAGTTTCTTTAAGGAATCAGGTTCGGGAAAGTTCTTAATAGTTTTTATCTTATTTTCGGTAGGTCTGATACCTTCGGCAGTTATTCGATGTCCTAAGAATTCAATGGAAGGGGAACCAAAAATACATTTCTTTGGATTGATAACAACTCCAAATCGTTCAAACCTTTGAAATAACAAGCTTAAGTGTTGCATATGTTCTTCCATCGATAAGCTGGCTACTAAGACATCGTCGATATATACAAAGACGAAATCAAGACCTTGGGTAACTTGGTCCATAAAACGCTGAAATGTTTGAGCGGCATTCTTTAGTCCGAAAGGCATTCTCAAGAATTCGAATAATCCAAAAGGCGTAATAATTGCTGTTTTTGCAATGTCTTCCGGAGCGACTGGTATTTGATGATATGCCCTGACCAAGTCAACTTTAGTAAAAATGGTCTTTCCATGTAACGTCAAGCAGAAGTCATGGAGATGGGGTATAGGATAACGGTCCGGGACCGAAGCGTTATTCAAAGCGCGGTAATCTCCGCATGGTCGCCAGTCGTGATTAGTTTCGGGTACCATATGCAAAGGTGAAGACCATGGACTGTTAGATGGTCGTATGATGCCTAGCTGCATCATATGTCCGAATTCCGACTTAGCTGCTGCTAGTTTATCGGGTGGTAACCGTCGTGGACGTGCCTTCACAGGTTGTCCTGTTGTGATGATCTTATGCGTAACTGTATGAGATATATCTTCGACGTTGTATGACGGTTTAAGGATTTTAGGAAATCATTGTAATAAAGTAGGGAACATTTCACTCTCCGGCTTTTCTATGCAAATACTATGAACAGAGTAATCACATATAATACCGTGGATCTTGAGTTGTGTGCAGTTGTCGATCAGTTTTTTCTTGCTGATATCAACTAACAGATTGAAATGACTTAGGAAGTCTGCACCTAGTATAGCGTGACGTACGTCAGCTACTATGAAGATCCATGTGAAACATCGGCGTAGTCCTAAGTTTAAAATCATCGACTGTTCGCCATACGTCTGTATGTTGGTTTGGTTGGCAGCACGGAGTGAAAGTTTCCCCAGTATTTTGGCTGATCGCCTGGATAGTGAGGGGGGAATAACACTGACCTCGGCGCCTGTATCTACCAGGAATAATGTGCCGGTAGTCAAATCCCTCACATAGAAAAGGCGACTGGGGTGATTGCCAGTAACAGCCGTCGCCATTACTGTCTGGCTGGGGAGTTTCCCTGAGTTGAGTTACCACTGTTGTACATGCACGGTCGAACACACTTCAGGACATTATGCCCATACCTCCTATGATACCAACAAATGTTACGGCTTTGAGACGGTGTTCAAGAACGTCGTCTAGATCTTGATCGCCGTTGCTTGGATACCGTATGTGACTGGTTCCGTTGTGCTCGAAGCTCGGACACTTCCAGTCGTAAGTCTTGCATTTGAGATGTTAACTGGGAAAGTAACCAAAACATTGGCGCGTCCTTCATAGATGTGGAAGGGCTTGGTGGTACTACCTCTGTAGACACGCTATTTATGCCATTATTTGATAACACATCCATGACATCGTCTGCCATCTTAGCTAATTCTTCAAGGCCTGTCGTCCTAGAAGATACTGTTAGGATTTGTTGAACGTTTTGTGGTAAACGTTGTAAGAACATCTGACGTAGAATTAACTCATCTACTCTGTGTGACCCAATCAACTGGCGCATATGTCTAAGTAGTTGAGATGGCTTTTTTGTACCTAGATCACACGAAGTAAGTAGTTTTTATATGCGTTTCTCATCGGAGAGGGTGGACCGCTGGATAAGTGCAGCTTTTAGTTTGTCATATTGAGAGTCTGTAGGTTTGCTGTATATGACATCGATAACCCCTCGTAGTACTTCCGTGGGTATTGCTGCTAATACGCAACCATACATGGCAATCTGCGACGTAATACCTCGAGCTGCAAACAACTGTTCAATGGTTGTGAACCAGACACGTGGTTCAGTCAGATCAAATTGAGGTAGTCTTAAATCCGGCAAGGCGTTAACAGCAGAATTCTGTGTCCGTTCGCCTTTATTATCTTCTTCAGTGACAGTGGTACGTTTAGGTGGAGCCATTGTCAAAAAATATTTAAGTATAGAGATATACAAAATAGGAAAACATGTGGTAACAAAAATTAAAGCAATGCGAGTTTATAAGGCCAAAATAGCAACAAAAATGTTCAAAACGAGTTAACTATCGAAACAAAAAGGTTCGAAAAACGGGTTAACCATCGAAAAAAATGGTTCGAAACGGGCTCACCAATTATTGTGGCGAACCTTTTACTCTGTTAGCTTAGTTACCCAAATTCAAATAGAAAATAAAATACCAAAACAGTCTAGTTACGGGAAGAATATATTAATGTTTCGTTACTTAGGTTTACAAAGATCCAAAATCCACAATAAACGTAGTAGACTCCAGAGGCGCTGCGGGAAGACTGCTTCAGTACTTTTTCTCCAATGTTGACGTTGCCGGAGGTCGACCAAAGTACGGTGCTCCTGCAAAAATTTGAGATAGAAAGCAGGTGATTAAAATTGATCGGTGGCAATTGGGATGGTGGAGAAGACGGAGAGTCGGAGGTAGAACTATATTTTCATTCAAAACCCGAGGTAAAGTTCAAAGTACAGAGTTTATGGTTAAAACAAAGTAATGTACAATATGTTCATTTCTTACATAGTAGTAGAAATTGGATAAGTTTATTTTTGGGGATTTCGCAAAGTGACAGTTCTGCTTGTGACCGGTCGGTTTCTCATTGGCGTTGCGTTAATTTCAAGCATTATTTGGGTGTTCGGTGCAGATCCCATTTCCCAGGAACACTTTATTTGTTCGGTCAGTTACATAACTGACAATACATACTGTATTACAGCACAGTGAATATATTGGTGTCTCTAAAGTACATCGGCGCAAACCGAAACGACCTTCGAACAAAAAGTGACCTTGAGGAAGTAATCAGCTGACTGTATCATTTTCGTAAGTAATCATGTCAATGCGGAGGAGTTATGCATATACAAAAATAGAAAGAAGCCATTGATGGCTTTGTATACAGATGTATTGAGTGCCAAAGGAAGAAATCGGTTCGAGAAGGTTTGTCGTTGTTTTGTTAGTTAACAGATCCCTTAGGAACTTTTCTCTCAAGGTCTAAACTACCTTTGACGAAAATTTTAATGATCTGTAACTTCTGGGTCCTGAAAAGAGCAGTCACAGCTACAGCTTATGAAACAGAAAATTCAGAGGTGTCAGAAGTGCAATGGTACAACTACTGCAGAGATGTTTCCTCCTGGAAAATGAACACCCTGACTCAAGTTTTCGGAGGAGTCGGCAGCATAGTCCATATCGATGAGACTGTACTTATAAAAAGGAAATACAACCGTGGGAGATTACAAGCAAACCAGTGGTGGATACTGGGTATCTACGACACGACACTGCGCAAAGGGTATATAGAAGCGATTCCCAGTCGCAGTGCAGCAGTATTAGTGCCTATTATTAAGCGTTTGGTGTTGCCGGGGACGACTATTCATACAAATGAATGGAGCGGATACCGTCAATTATCGAATCATGGGTACATTCATCATGTTGTTAATCATACGGACGGTTTCCGGAATCCTTTAGATGGAACCCACACCAGTTCCATTGAAAGTTTTAGGAGTCGTCTAAAAAGACGTATAAGAGCGGTTAATGGATCGAGAAATACCATGATTTACAGTTACCTGGATGAATTTATATACCGAAACTGGTTTCATACGACTATGAAGACTCCCATGAGAAACTGGGAGGTTTTTTGAGATATATACGCGAGCGCCATCCTTTGTAACTGTTTATTATGATTGCATTACTTTTATATAAACCGTTTTTTACAATTATGCGCCTTCCTTTTGAGTCTTCTCATTGGCCGAAGTTGTCCCTGTCAAGGTCATTTTTGCGTTAAAAGGTCGTTTCGGTTTGGGCCGCTATTCTTTAGTGTCACCATATATATTTACTGAATTCAGTGAATTCTTTTGGCACCAAAGTCTAAGGAGATGGCAAGAGTGTCGAAACTCATCCAACGTTTTGTAGAGGTGATAACTTTATGCAACTTCAATTATCTCTTGATTATTATTTTCAGCGAATCTTATATCAGTATTAAATATTCAACAGTTAGGTTAATCGTGATGAGAACAATATATTTGATGCAGCATATAAGTATCTATGTATAATCTGTTGTTTTTCGAAAATCGGAAGGCCGGTATCAAAGATCACAGTGAGTAGTGTAATACATGTAGGTTTCATGTTTTTAGTTGGAATATACCAGGTCTCCATTCTCTTTCATATCTAATCTTGAGTTCAGGTAGAATCAATTAGTCTACCAGATCAGTAAACACTTGCTTCATAAAATTAATTAGTAAATCTTATTGATATGATTGTATTACTAGTAGCCGTCTATCCAAGGTTATAATGAATTCGTTGTGATAATAATAATACCTATTATTATTACTATTGTTATTACTTGTCATGAAGCCGTTATTATTAGTGTGAACATAACTATTCAAGCTTTGTGAATTACTGCATAACTTATTACTGAATAATGTTATCATTTCACGATGCTTCCATGGATTTGTTAGATGTCGACCAGCTGGGTAGACTGTGAAGCCCCTAAAGTTTAATTAAAACTGTTTAGCTATCTGTAAATGTGTTGTTTGTAAAAAGTTTACTTGTGGTCGAGCAATCATCTGAATAACTTTAAAAATTATTTATTCAGATCATACATGTGCTACCCAACTTAATGGTGCTTTTCTTGAAACTTTTCGGACCGCTTTGGAGAAATATATATGTGTTTTGTGTGTGCAGATAAAACGTACTGACAAATAACAAAGGATTAGTCATCAGAATTATCTGTACAACTAAAATCTAAATTTTGTATGATAAACACTTCTAATCAGTCTGCTTTTCTTCTGTTGTGATGCGGCGATTGTGTTCCCCTAACATTAGTAAAACCTGCTAGTGTAGAAATTAACAGTAAACAATTGGGAAACCTTTGACGACGCTATTAGGTGAATAGCTAGTGATTTGGTGTCTTCTGTGGCTATGAAGCGTAGACACTTTGCTTTAAATCAATGTTATTACAGTAGATGTAATTCATCACGTGTCTTACTGTATGAACTTCATATTGGAGCATTTAACGTCAGGAATCGTTGCTAAATTTTACAACAGGCATCTCTAGTCAGAGCTCTGGCATGTCGAGTCATGTATGCATGTTTTGTTTCGAAGACAACTATACTAGTCCCGGGTGTGGTTGTTCACTTGTCCCACAGACTGAATCTGAAAAATTCACCTTTCGGATGTCAGGACATTTTTCAGCTAGTTTGTGAGGACTCGCAGGTGTAGGGATAGCACTGAGTGTTAGGGCAGAAAAGTCACTTCTTGACTGGATCCCAGTAGTTGGTTGTGTCTGTGCGGTGCGTGTGGACGCGTCCGTCAGAAGAAGGAAGGACCGCGTTACCCATCGTTGTCTTTTCATAGTCTTCGCTTACGCCCCCAACAGACTGCAGTTCGGATGAACTAAAGGATGATTTCCACTAGAAGCTGTCTAATTTGCCGCAAAAAGCAAAGCGTTCAGATATAGTTTTTTTGCCAGGCGACTTCAATGCCCAAGTATGGAAATTGTGTCAGACTGAGAAGCATATAGGTGGTACGTATTGAGTTCCCTGCCGACAAACCGAAAACGGTGATCGTCTTCTATCGTTCTGTTCAGATAATCATCTGTTCCTAGTCAGCACTAACTTTAGGGACAAAGAGAGACACTGCGAAACCCGGCGACCTCCATCACCGAATCAACGCTGGACTCAAGCAGACCACATAGCCATTGGGTATTGTTGCCGAGGGTCAGTAGAAGACTGCCGCTCCTTCCGGATTACGTGCGTAGACATTGATCACGCTCTGGCTCGCGCACGTTTATGCTTACGACTAAACGGACATAAGAAATTGTCGGCAGCAATTCAGTTACGTCCCCAGCTAGATCGAGACTCTGAGTCCCCATTTAAGGAAGAAATAGTATCTGAAGTAGCCTGGCACAATATACATGAGATGAGATGTATAATTGTCGATGGCACCCCGTAGTAGCGAAGTAATTGCCAAACCACCTCTCGATAGACGCTGTCGAAGGCCTTTTCAAAGTCGATGAAGTTGAGATAGAGAGGTGACTGACAGCCATTCCAAGCTTTGTTCAATGATGATCCGTAGTGTGGCGATTTGATCAATACATGACTTGTTTCTCCTGAATCCAGCCTGTTCCGGTCGAAGGTTTTCATCCAGGTTGGCTTGTTTGATTCTCTCCAAAATGATTCGGCTTAGTATTTTGCTTGGGATGGACAGGAGCATGATTCCGCGCCAGTTTTCGCATTGACTTAAGTCTCTTTTCTTTGGTAGTTTGAATAAGTATCCTTTCTTCCAATCCTCAGGTAATTTGCCCTCTTTCTTTCCTCACTTTCTCCAGCAATGGCGTCATCAAATCCGCTGTTGTCTCTGGGTCCATTTTCAATGCTTCTGCTGGGATTCCATCTGGTCCTGGTGCTTTCGGTCTTTATGTTGAATGCAGAAGATTTGCAAACTGATTTCAGAGTAATCGGTTACTCTCATCACCTCCGGCCATTGAGGGGTACTACTCGCTCTCAATAGGCTGCTCTTCACAGTATTCGTAACTTGCTGTCAAACTATCACGATAAAACCCTCTCCATTAACCCACTTAATTGAGATGGAGGGCTCATGTAGTGAATCAGTTAAGGTATAATCACATATTCATTGATACAATAAATATGTACATCATTTCTTTGAGATTGTGAAAAGTCTCGAAGTAATTGAGCATTGGGCTCAGTGTGTAAATAGTGTATTTGTCATTATATGTACTTTAGATGAGTGAAATTCGCCTATTGAATCGTCAGTTCAGTTCTATCATCTCATTGCGAACTTTCCTAAGTGCTCTGCTATACAAGAGCGTTGCATTGTAGTGAGGGATCCTTCCAAAGCCATCTGCAACACCGGCGAAATACCTTGCCAAGTGGATCTGTAACACATAGACTATTCAATTCCCAGTCTAAATGTATGACGCATAGATTCATTTCGTCTCACCTTTGTAGTGAAAGACCGACCAGCATAAGATGTGCAGGTGAGGATTGTAGCTTGACTACGTAATGCACAAAACGGTATAATATTGGGTAAATAATGAGCGAAATGGGGAAGTGGTTATCATAAGAAACATTTTATCATATAACCAACATTCGCTCATTATTCTACTATTGGACAAGTCCAAATAATTCACGACTGTTGTCTCAATGGGACGCGTATTACGCACTGCAAGATATCTCGCAACTGGTTGAATCCATCACAAAAATTTCTGGAATAGATGTATTCTGTACAGTTAACTTGAATTGTTCAAAGACCCTAACTATGTCCCATGACAACTCTCGTTTGATATATCCTAAGGCAGGTCGAGCACGAATCAAACTGGCTGTTAACACCGAATGAAATAGATAATACCTTCATATTTGGTGTCAACCATCATATTCAAAACCTACCACCTCATTAATCGTCTTGCATATTGTGTTGAATCAATACATGTGGATTCCCATTATTTATGATACAGTTGCAATTGTTAATATAACGCGAAGTAAATTCCACTAGTTACCCCTGTATTCAGTTCTCTGTCTCCCTCACATTTCTGTCTTTTATACTTCTTTCGAATCCTTTATCTTTTATGTGCCTAGGCGTGTGTAACACATGTCCTAACCATCTCAGTCGGAATAAATTCACAACTTCATCGATTGATTTCCTCACATGTATATATACATATAAGCAAAGGTTAACTTTGTCATCTTAGCTCTCTGAGAAACTTTAACTAGTTTTGGCTACTGCTGAGTACGATTCACTCTCAGAAGGTTACTTTTCACCGTGTTCGTGACTAACTACCAGTAAAAGTATCATGATAAAAACACACTCCCTGCCACTTAAGTCAAATAGGAGCCATATTTAACCTATCGATTAAAGTACAGAACTCATCATGTTTTTCCTCCGTTTTACAGTCATTTGGGACTTAAGCGGAGATCGTATCTAGCAATCTGACTTTCTCCCAACGGATCCGTTCCGATGGAAAGCACACATACGACCATCTACTAGAATCCAGTCTAATGGGGATTTTTTCGCCCTAGTACTCTGTTAGTCCTCACAAACTAACCGGAGAAGGTCCTGATATCCGTAAGGTGAACTTATCAGACTCAATCTATTGGTCAAGTGGAGTTAAGTCAATGTCCATACTTGGGTCTTGTATCCATGACTTTGAAACATAACATACATCCATGGCTCAAGATACCAGAGTTCTGGCTAATGATGTCTGTTGTGCTATTTAACAAAGGTTCCTGACGTTAAATACTCCAATATGAAGTTGGCAGCGTGGTTTCAGGGGGCTAAGTAAACCAGATATCCGGTTCTTCTGACTCCTAGATGTCGCTATGTACCATGGAGAAGAACTACAACTACATGTACTCATTGTTAAGTCGTGTGGGAATGCAAACGCTAGCCAGACGACAGTCGACACCTGCCTACATTCCCGACATCCAACTAAGACCTCACTCACAAGTTTGATGAGATACTAACAATAATAGCAGCCGGATTATTAGAAGAAAACAAATTGACAGCTTAACTAACATGTTTAACAATTTAATACAGTACAAATAGTTAACAGTTTATAAACTCGGTAGAAAAATAAAAACGGCTAACATATACATATATACAATACATGCACATAACGATTGATAACCATTTAAACGTAGACAGTTTTTATGTGTACATATACGTATGGATATCGTAGTTAATATGAAAAATAGATTAAAACGGCAAAAAGGTTAATGCATGTACAAATAAACGGGAACACCATATAGAAACCTAGGAATGTTGAAAGGAAAGTTGAATGTACAAAAAACAAAGGAATACAGCATTTGCGAATCATCATTTCAACTTAATTTTAATTATAACACACAAAATATAAAAAATAGGAAGCAGAAGAAGACGCTGCATATTTCGTAGAGCTATACTGACGGTGCTGATAGTTCATTCGACAGACAAATCCAGTACCTAGACAGTGATCGGATCCATGGGTAAATGGGAGAAATTAAACACAGAAATTGTGAATTTAGTTAGGACAATACTTGAAATCAACATCAAGTTTAAATTGAAATACATATACGTACAAACATTGAAAAAGAGGGACATCAATTCGAGTATATACATGCTATATACAGAGCCTGACTGATTCTGTGTTCTCAAAGTGTTCAAATTCATTGGCTCTGGGCTATAGCTAATTGTCGTTCTCTTTTTGCATGATCTTGCATAACCACTAAACCAACAGGTAACTGTTGTTGTCCACTGCCTTTCTGCTTTTCACTTTACTCTCTCCCTCATTTATCCACCTTTGTGTGCCTTAATATAGACAGGCGTGGGAGGTTGAACAGGTGTGCTTTTGTGTTGAAAATCAGTCAGTCAGTTAGTCTATGGTTGGTACTGACTGACTAACTAACATTCTACCAACGTAGAACTTGAGGCAATTCAAGTTGTCAAACTTCACCAAAAGTACACAAATATACGGGAGAAGGAATAAGTGTAGTATACACAATGGCGCAGATGTATCCACTCCTTGTGACTTATAATATCCAACAAAACTATATCGATCCTCAACATTACTATTCTTTTTGACTTATATCTCTATTTACTGTTTCTATTTTGCATTTCTTTTCACTCTCTTCTTGTACTTTGTGTGCTAAGTGAAGTGTGGTGACTCACACAACTACTGCACATCGGTGCAAAGATCTATGTTGAAACTAGTCAATCAGTCAGTACACAGAATAACAAAAACCTTGATGGAGGATCTAAGGGTTCATAGAGAGTGATTGAATCCATCTAGCATGGCTCTCACGAACAACCTGGTATGTGCGTGAGGGCGGGTGGACTTCGATCTTCTTGAAATATTAACAACAACACACTGTCAGACAAGGCGTGAGAGCGACAGGCTCAGAATACTTCAGACTGATTCACATTATGTCCAGAAGAAGAATTAGGATAAAATAAGATGAAAAGATTGAATATTGCACACACCGGAAATTTAGATAATTACCTAACAGTAAAATGTGTATGTTCGCTCTATAAGTTATATTAAAGTTCAACAGATATAAGAACGTGCACGATCACGTCTGTCTGTCATATGATTCACAAATCTACTTTCGCACTATTTTTACTTTCTACAACAAAGTGTAAGAGTGAGAGGAAATTTAGAGGCATAACACACAATTATATTTTTTTAAAAGGCATATGATAATTCTTTGAAAAAAGCAGTTTCATTTCTTTAATTAAATAGTTACTTTTACAGACATATTACTTAACGATATTCTAAAATGCATACATATACATATTTGGTGCTCAAAAAGAGTTCCTGGTTCAATGGGTAACCGCTCGCCAGCTGTAGCACGGGATATGACACTTCGATTTCTAGCAGAAGACGCACACTCTCCCCCAATCCACAGTATCATCTACCAGAAGTCGGTAGTAGGCCATGAAACGATGGTAGGCTTGGTGTGACTAGCAACCACATCATTGCTACTGAAACATATGAAGCTTTGAGCTTTATGTTCCATATGTATGACATAAGCCTGTTGCATAAAACTAACGATGAAATAGTCTGAGAAGTAAAAAATTCAAGTTTAGAAGTTGTGTTTACTTACAGCCAAGGATATACCATTTACGAAGTATTTAGGCTCTTGCAAGTTGCAAGTTTCTCTCTTACCTAGAACTCTTGCACAATCACAGATCTCATATGCATACACTGTCATTTAGCATCCTTATTAATAACTCCCTGTGTCATTGCACCAATTTTACCTGTTAATGTTGTTATCACTGATAATTATCAAAACACTATCAGAACAATTTGTCTGCATAATGCAATCACTCACTCCAGAATAATTTAATGTATAAAAAGGGGTTATAATACATAACTGAGAAAAACCTTCATCAGATTTAGCTAACTAGGCATGCCTACTACTACTAATACCACTACTACTAATTTAACCACAGAAAAAGATGCTATGATAATTTCGTAAAATTCAAATGAGAACATGAAAAGGGGAGAATAAAAAAGAATGATAACCACAAAAGCAAGCAGAGTATTCCTAATTTAGTCAAAAGGCAATAAAAGACGCATAAAATGATCACGTAAAGCTATTTAGACATAATAAAGTACAGGTATCTAAACTACTACTATGACTATAATTAACTGAGAGTTCCATAACCACCCACTGATTGCACACACACACACAAACTATAATCCCCTTGAATTTCGAGTGGAACACAGGACTTCAGCTCAGGCGGATCGCCGTTTCACTCTGGTCACTGCAGTCACTTTGGGTTGCCGATCCATACATCTTCATTGTCTTCTGCACATATGATGGTTGGATCACAGGTCCATTACCGGTCTTCGTTTCCGATCGTCTCTGGTCATCTGATCTTCAGTTTCGAGAGAAAGCAGCCACTGTTGAAGGTCTACAGCAAGCTGGTGGATATGCTTATGTAACTCATCAAGTCTTTGAATTATTTAAGAGGCACTAATTTGACTTTAGTTTTCTACAAAACTTTGATCTTGTCAATTGTGCTGATTAAGTGCAGAAGATCCCCACACACATCGTAGACTAATGAATAAATGTACCGCTTTCCTGATCCTGGTTGTCTTTGACATCATCTGTGTAGTCACTTGTGGTTGAAACAATGCTTTACAGGTGATTCGGAGACAACCCTCCCTATGTTTCTCCTGTCGATGATGATTGTTGTTTGTTAGGCATATTCTCATCAGCAAGCACTCAGTCTACAACCACACAGAACTTTGCACAGAAGTGTAGCACACAGAGGAAGAGACAAGAGAAAACGAAGATTCAAAAGAACTATAATCAGCAGAAATGCGGGGAAGAAGGGACGGTAACAAGGAAAACTCTAAGGGTTTGGTAGATACGTGCGTCTGAGCCACTGAGAACGACGATTTTGAACTATATATCCATACTCTGCAGTAATTTGCTTTTCAGCATCCTGAAGATAACAAATAGGCAGTTTTATGCCTCCCAGTATGGCTCTTATCAACTGCCAAAGTCATAGTGAATTGATGACACGTTTTGTTCTGAACATCCCTAACTCTCTTTCAGCCTAATCGTATCTTAGCTAAAACTGCTTGTCGAGGGATGGCTTGAAATAGTATGTGTAACACGTGTCCTAACCATCTTAATCAATTCACCCATACAACTTCATCGAATAATTTACTGTCCTCACCTAACAATCTACAACCCTTGGTTTTAATATTATTCACTATATTATACCCACAAACTTCCTTTGGTCGAATACAGAAAGCCTACTCAATTTTTCCACTTTCAACGACCATGTCTCATCCATTACGGGTAAATTTTTTTTGATAAAGTCTCACAGTGTTATACAATAATGTTTACATTACTGTAATTACATTACCACAATCAGGCAATCAATTAAGGCTGATGCAACTTCCCAAATTAGTGAACTGGTCAACACACCCAGCCATTCCATTGCTTATCTTTCAGCTAGGAGTCGGTGTAGTTCAGCTCTGTTATGCATTAGCCTACACGTGAGGTGAATGAATATACAGAAGAACAAGTTTGGCTAGTAAACTAGGATGTATAACGGGGGTTCAATTCAAACAAAGTGCAAAACTATAACCACTTTTATATATATTGTGCAACTCACTTTAATTACAGGAGAGGAATCCGCGACGATAAGACGATCAAGCCGTCTACCCTCAAAAGCGCTCACTTCTTCACCGTGATATGTAGCTTGGCCATAAGCTTCTGACTCAATATTCCATACAAAAATATTTTCATCACATGAACCACTGACTAGTAATGTTTCCTGAAAAATAAAAGAGAATTTCATATATACATACACATTATATATTCCCGAAAATAATGTTATTTCTTTCCATTTCTGTACCTGTACACTTATCCAGTTGTTCAATTGAATTTTAGATTTTCTCGTCGATTGATTGGACCGAATTGCTCCGCCTCAGGTTGACATGTCGGCTTCTTGTGCAGATGCTTCGACGACGTCTGGGCATGCACATCCAGGTGACGAGTCCTAACAGGGCGAAATGTGCATCCTGGATTCCACCAACTAAATTCTAAACGTTTTCAGTTGGTTTCGACTGACTGACTGGTTTCAACATAGAGCTTTGCACAGAAGTTCTATTTGCCACACTCCCTCCATGTAGCGTACAGAGCAAGAAAAGAGAGTTAAGAGACGTTTAAAAAAGAGATAATTGTAGTGGTGGTGTTCACGAAGAGTATTCGATGCATATGAACACCTTTCTTCAATTGTTAAATCAGATGATTATAGAAATCTACACACGAATAGTGAGTTATTGATTCAGGTGATCCTATTTCATAGGGTCAAGTATAAGAAAGTCTGGTAAACCATATGAAGGAGACAATGCATCCAGGCCATTTGAAAAACGACCTTGCTCCATGTTGAATTTTCAGTCTCGGTTCGGAAATCTTAGAGATACAATCTTCATCTTCCTATGTGGCTAGCTCAACCCAACTGCCAAACACTACATGAACTGACAGCAAGTTTTGATTTGAACTGGTGCAGAATTATACTACTATCAACTACAAAAATATTTAACCGCATCATCGTGTAGAAACTAAAAGATGCCCAGAGTGAGAAATTCTCACTCGCAACAAGCTGAATTCAGTAAAAGCATCAGCATGGAAGAGAGCACATCACTCAACTCTCCACCTTAACTTCATCGAATTTGGAAAGATCCTACACAGTGTTGAGCATGAATTGATTTGGAAACTGCTTCACCCAAACCTTCATTAGCCTCATTCAACAGCAATGGAGATATGATGATGCAACATGTCAAATGATTCACAAAGGAAAGCTCATCAAAGTATTGGAAGTGAAGACAGGAATACAATAAGACTGCCTTTTACCACTGATTATATTCCTGTTTGAAGTGAATTAGATTATGGAATAGAACATGAGGAGAGAGAGAAGACGCGCATACATCGCGTCAACAAGAAGACACTGAGAGACATGAAACATCAGACTGATAAAAGGATTCAGGGAGACCCGGACCTTGTAGATATGTCATGTCTACTGTCACAAAACTCGACAATCCACAGACGAAACTCAACAAGTTGAGAGAGCAGGAAGTGATGAGACAACTTCAAGTGAACAAAAAGTGGTAAGGAGTGTTGCTGATAACCAGCAAACAACAGGCATTGGTCTCCATTGGTAGAAGACATATTTAGGAAGTCACTTCTTATTTATCTAGGCAGCATCGTGTCAACAACAACATGAGAATCTCAAAGCTAGGATCGTGAATGCACGACAGGTGTTCACACTCCGAAATCAGTACAGGGATTAACGCCACTCACGATAACTAACGCGACCCGAAATTTTTTGTATGTTCAACAGAATGGGTTAACCACTGAAGGCATTCCTAACACACTGCAGGCTATCACTAACAGTTACCTCCTTCGCTCGATAGTGAAGATCATATAGTCACAGAAAGGATAAATAACTAACAAATATGAAGTTGATTGGATACACATAAGTTGGGCGCACCGCTGAGTGACGTTACATACTAGGTCCTTGAGTGGAACTAAAATGGAGAAGGAAAAGTTGGACTTCTGAGGTTAATACAGTGGTAATCATGTGGGGAAGAAATAGAAATTCATGGGCAATCGTGGAGCCAGATAAAAAACAGCAGTGTGCATGGCAGAATGAAGATGTGCTGTTGAAGCCCTATGTTCCACTCTTAACCCACAGCCACTACTATTTTCTGCTTTAAGCATTAAACCCTGCACTTGAAGTATGAGATAGGATGCAATCGCTTATGGCGGAAGACAACTATCCACTTCACTTTCTCCACTCTCAACAGCCATGATACACAGTCATAAAGCAACACACAACAAACTGCTCGACAGTACACACATCCTCTCATCGACAGGTGGACAACACGTACCCACCAGAGATGGAGTAAGTTGAGTATTCTGATGTAAGCGAGCATTATAATAGCTGCATTGCAGTTTTTATGCGTCGTGAAACATTAGACCGTATAAATTGAGATTAAGAAAAACACCTACATACGTTACTACCTTTGTAACAACAAGGGAAACAAAAATATTAGAAAACATACATTTATAAAGTGTACAGTTGATGCTCTACCATCGTGACCATACAATGATTCATAATGCATCAACTTTTTACCATAACCGGAAAACAATTCAATGGTCTTGCTATCAAGTGAGGCAGCAACGATGTCACCGGACATCGAGCAGGAAACTGAGTTGATGCAAGGACGTCTGACTGATATGTTACGACGCTGGCGATCCCGACTGAATGACACTGGCGTAGGGATAAGAAACAACCGGGCCTGGGCGAAAAAAAATCATTTCAAAGATGAATGATAGGTAAATCAAATGGCTTTAATTATTGGAAGACGAATAGTATTTTTCTAGTGTTTTAGAACCTTTCCGTAAAAAAAATCAAAACTATGCAGGAGATGAATAAATATGACTCTCTAGAGCCACAAATATATAACCCAGTAGTTACATTTAATCTCACCTAAGTTACCAGTCGCTAATGAGCCAAGAAAAAGTGGGACGGTTGGGAGCAGGGAAGTGAACTGTTCACAGACTTCGGCACCTTCATAATTTGGTGATTAGAGGCAGCGTTCACAACCACATGCATATACACAAAGTGACATAGGTCTCACCTAACGAACACACCAAAAATCAGATGGACTTCATCTTAATCTCAAGAAAGATGAGATGTAGTCCGCCAGAAACAAAGTCGAGATGAGCAGATAGGAGTCCAGACCATATATGATTTAGTGCGAGGATCCTTCAAAGTAAAGCTGAAGGCCTTCAAGAAATCAAGATAAAGGCTCTTATTCATCCCCAACACTCCAACTGAAGGACAACGCAACAACGAGAACCTTTACTGTGGTCAACAGGATCAAGTCAGAAACAGTCAGCAACATCACCGAGTTAGCCTGTGTGAAAAACACAGGAACACCATAGAAGTGGTGCGAACGCAAAGCCATATAGAAATCTGAAACAGGACAAGGAAGAACTCACAATGGACGGTGACAGAGCAAAGAAGGACGATGATGAACCAGCGCAGAGACGAATACCGGAAGCAGCCGCTGAGTATAATTTACGACGTACTAGGCAAATGAGCAGCAGAAGCATTCAGCTGGTAACTTCAAAAGGCTTCTTTAAATTTGAAAACTGCCGCATTAACGGAGTGTTTCGCCACGAACTTTTATAAACCGCACTAAACTACTGTATGGTAATCGCGAATACCAACATAAGGTTTTCGAGTTGAAGACAGAAATGAGACAAGACTGCTTACTGTCACTGACAACCTTCCTGTTTTTGGCCCACTGGGCCCCGCGGTAAACCACGAGGTGGGAACTCCAGAATACATTGAACTGACAGAAAGACCCCAGATCTGTCCCTAGTGGATGTTTCATGTCTCGTGTGCCACAAACTCGAAGATCCACAATTTAAAACCAACAGGTTAGCAGGACAGGCAGAGAAGACAGGACTCCATGTAAACATAGAGATGATCAACAACAAGCACTGGTCATCACCAGTGAAAGCAATCAAAAGGAAGTCATCTCTTACTTGCTTACCCGGGAAACATCGTTTCAACTACTAGCAGCGGTAGAGAAGTGGATGTCAAAGACAAGATCAGGAAAGCAAGACAGACCGTCACTGCTCCGAAATCAGTTTGAAAATCTACGTCACCTACCCAGTACAAGGAAGATCAAAATTTGCTACAGAAAGCGTATCACCAAAAGACTCCAATAGGATACTAGAGATTTTCATCAACAACTCTCATTGCTGCCTCGATACTGAAGATCAAAAGGCTGGAAAGTACAGATAACAAGGGGCTCTAGCAACAAACAAGTTGAGAATACATTGCCTTACAAACATGCAAATAAAAATTAAGGTGCTCTGTGGGTACAGAGCTTTAGTTGACATCACACACTAGGCACTACAGAGGAACCAGAATAGAAGGTGAAGTTAGTCTTCAGTCTGAGGGTGACACAAAGACCATGTAAAGGCGAAAAGAAAGATAGTGATTTGTGGAGCCAGTTGGAAGTAATGGCAAAGAATCAAGTGCAATGGAGATGTGCCGCCGAAGCCATATATTTTGTTGGAAGAGCAAGGAATGAGTAATAGCAATGATAATAATACGTGGAGAGGACAAAACAGTAATGGTAGTATTAACTTTTGCATCCATTGGCGGTTGAAATAGATATTGATCACACATTTAAAAAGTACAGACAGGGTTTCGTAGGTTTACAACTTAACCGGTTATTTCCTGTTCACACAAACATCTTGTTTAGGTTCATGCGTAGCATTCGTGACTGAATGATGAAGCGAAGCATTCAAATGACCCTATTCAAGCTATCTGAACCTCTTTAAGCATGGTCTACGCCAACAATACATGACATCATGCACTAATACCGTGCTTTTGTATGACCACATACCTTCCCTAGCATCATCATTAAGTGAAAAGTGTCCAGATTTGTGCAGCCACCTTGATCACCTTTTGCAAGTTTGACTACTTGACGGGCGAAATTTCTGTCACACATTTTCTACTTCTTAAGCTTTTTTCACCTACAAACGTGATGAACTGATTTTATGTTAGGGTTCAGAAAACTACTCCAGAAAGAAGGATTGCTGTTTACTATTGCGACATGTTATAGCCTGATTGACAAGCCACAGTGATAACCACCGGAAGATAAGGCGACAAGTGGACTGCTGCTGATACACTGACTCCGACCTGAGACCGACTAGTCTATTTACACCACATAAACGACTTTCTTCAGAGCAAAGATATCCACGTAGGAACTACCACTGAAATAATTGCCAAGTCCATTTAAAATATATCATCCAGTTGGTGGTAGAACTTACAATTAGTCACATCTGAAGACCTTTGCAGACAATGAGAAGCTTCTTCCTTTTGACAGTTATGCAGGAGATCATGGATCCCGGGATGAGTGGTATGACTTTTGTGCCGATACACACTGATGTTATTCTCAACGTTCTACTGTCTCTGATGCTGTAGAGAGGATTAGCATGGCGTATATAGTGTTTCCAAACAAGTGAAGAGTATATCTGGCACGGGTGTTCCGGAGCTTGTATTACAATCATCAAATTTACGATTATGAGCTTCAACGTAACAACCACTTCATAAGGGAACACTAGAATGAGATGAAGAGCCTTAATTGTGACGCCAACTGGGATTTACAGCTCATTATTTACTTTCCGACATGACAGACCAAAAATAAACAGATTTCACTTTTAAAGAAGCGACCAGAAATATTGAGATTAACACCTAGAACACACGCTGAAATGCCTAGGTTTCATCCCACTTTAGTCTACACAGTAGGCTACTTTATAAAATGAGGAGTCATGGAACAGGATACTGTTCTTGTCATCATGAAATCCTGTAGGTTGAAACACGGTTAATAAGGACACATGTAGCATACACGAAAAGATGTTGACGCTGGTTGACTTACAATCTGCTCGGCGAACCGATCTCGAATGCGGTCATTCGTTCTGGTATTACCCCCGTCAAAGTTCATGGTGGAGTTGGAACGGAGGAGTACATTCAAGGATTCATCATCTATACTGTCTATATAAGAATAGTCAGCCTCAACATTGTTTGAGTCTGAGCCAGAGTAGTCAGCAATTTCACTCAGCTCAAAAATATTAACCGCCAAGCCTGATCCCCGCCAGTCGGATACGACAACTTTACAGTCGACACCACCGCTCACCAGCTGCCAGGGACGACCCGGTCGGAACTTAACTGAAGACACGCTGTTATCATGTTTCTTGAGAGTACGAACAAGCGAACCATTACTCAGATCAATAATCTGTACTGTACCAGTATCATCTGCTGACGCCAGCCGGTCTTCAGTCTCAGATACGTCAATCGAATTTACTCTCCCTTCATTAACCTAAAGGTTGAAAGATTAGTTTTTAAAGGATAGTTCTGTCAACATACTTTCCAAATATCGAATAGCTGTCTTAAGTTGCGTATATCCCACGAGATAATTTCTTGGCTATACGCCCCGTAGAGTATATTTTCTTGTTTGACACTAAATTTGATACTAGAACAGTGACCATATCTTGGAGCCTGGAGAACAGGACAAGGACTTTGATCCAGAGACCAGAAATAGGTATTGCCATCCGCACTTCCAGATGCCAGCAGATGATCAGAAAGTGACAAAGTTGTGACTGCTTCAGTGTGTCCACGGGCAAGAACAATAGGATTGGTGGACATTGTGATTACTGAATTAGAGGGTGGGATTAGTCGACAAGGGAGCTTTGCGGTGATGAAAAATGTAAAAGGAAGGTCTATTTCCAAGTTAATCCCAGGTCCTAAAAATATATGAAACGATTGATGGAACAAACTTCTCCCTGAGCTCTGCAGCAGCCTCTAACTCCTTGAGATTCCCAGCGAGACCAACGAGACAAATACAGACACCAATGATAGTCGACAAGGGACAAATCAACTTTCCCGCAAGATAGTTGAAAGGAAATAGGATTCTGTTTGAAATAACTAATAGTAATTCGGATGTCCAAAGGTCCAATGCAACACAAAGTTCTTCGACGAATCTTAGTGATGACTTGATTCAATTTGTAATTTAGATACACGCTTCTTTTAATTTTTCGAAACAGTTGAATATTTTTGGAGTATCGAATTTCTCACCAACATTCTGAAGATTTGATTTGTGAAACGTCGACTGCTCTCTTCATGAAAGTGACTTTCCGAATCCTCCCCACATTACATGCAATGGAGTCTGATAGCACTGTTAAACTTTCTGGAGTCCAAGCTTTTGGATCAACTAGGTTTTGGATGGTATCAAGTTCGTGTCATTATAATCGTCGGTATGCCTCAAGCGACTGATACCATGGAAACTTTAATTCAAGCAATTCTTGGGCCTACGCTACGATGTGAATGGAATATGAGTTCGGATTATGTTGCTCTTCTTACCACTCTAGTATTTTTGGGCATATGTATAGGTTCTCCACCGATAGGATATTTATCAGACAGGCTCGGACGTAAAGATTTGAATGTTGTTTGTTTTCTTGCGCTTATTCACATGACATGGCTGTATGCTATTTCACCAACATATACGTGGTTAGCAACTTTACGCTCTATATCAGGTCTATACATTGGGGGCTTACTAACAGCCGGTTGTTCAATGATATCAGAAGTGCTACCAGAAAATTACCAAGCTACTGGTCAACTACTTGTTTGTTTGTTTTTGATTCTTTTATTGCTCTCTATGTAACTGGTATCGGACTTGGATGTTCTGCAACAAAGTGTTATCTGGAACTTTTCTGGATTTTTTGGTCAATTTCAGTGATGTCTGGGTCAAAGAAGGGACAAAGCGTCTTGGAAGCAGACAGGTAAGTAAGTAATGCTGAGTTGCTTGTTGATTGTAATGATATGTATGATGCTCAGCATGATGAGTCTGTAGTACATGGTTCGCCGTCTAGAGGTAGTAAGGGCCTAAAGTTACTTAAATTCGAGCCTAGGTACTTTGATGGAAACCCAACCGACTATCCAGAGTTTGTAAAGGAGTTTGAGATGATGTTGAGTGGTTTTTATTAAATGATGAAATGAAGTTAATGTATTTGTCGAGGTACTGCACTGGAGTTGCTGGAAGAGTTATACAGTGCTGTAGGTTTATGAAGCCAAACGAAGGATATACTAAGGCGATACGTACCCTGCGTCAAAGATTTGGAAGACCTCCGACGATTGTAAAGAACGTATTCGATGCCGTTAAAGGTAATGGTAGTCAAATACAAGATGACTCCAGGGCACTCTCTGAGTTTTTGGATAGTCAGATGACTTACAAGAATACGTTGATTTCGATGAATTGCATGAGCGATCTGAACTCACGATCCGTCGTACACGTAATATTGAGACGCCTACCTACTCGACTGCAAAGGAAGTGGGTGAAGATAAGCTCCCGTATGGCGGATGAGGGTATTGATCCAAAGTTCGATGATATTCTGAAACTGGTAAAAGATAGTATCAATCAATCTACGAGCAGGTTTGCCAGTATATAGAACCCCACCGCTAGAATAGAGAAGTCTGAGAGCCGAACGCAATCATTTATGACGAAACGGTCTCAGCGAAGTGGATATCGTGAAAGCTATATGGTGTCGCGCGCTATTCGACTACTGCGTTACATTTTCCTTATTAATAAAAACTCTCGTTTCTGTAAAATTTTATGCCAAGAGTTTGTGGAAACTATCACAATTATTTAACTTTCGAACACTGAATCCAAGAATACAATCTTATTGACAGATAATACATATAACTAACTATTTGGATTTGTGGAACTTTTAAACATAAACACATCTATAATTGTATATATTGTTGGATTTACATGTTTAGGTTGCTCCGAGTCAGTGAGTTTATGGTTGAGATACCATTTTAGTTAACTGTGCTGAACTATATTGCATGTTGTCTTATTGTATAATTGTTGTCGCTTTTTGCCCTTTTTTCTGTGAACTGTTTCTTTTTGTTGATGCTGTTCTCATTGTTTGTCCGTTATTTTCCGATTTTGAGGGGAGCAACCCAAAAAGTCGCTTCTCTCTAAACTTTATCTTAATGTAACAATTCCTTTCTCAGGCTTGATGCTAGCAATCCCATCCTGTAAACAAAGTTGCTACATAAACTTCAGCACAGTGAATCGCTTTGCGCCAAAAGAAAAAGTCTGTGTGGGGACATGGGACGTCCACACCGCATATGAGATTGGCAAAGCTTCTCAGATCGCAAACGAGATAAAAAGATACGGAATCCAAATGCTGGGAATATGTGAAAGCAGATGGAACGGGAATGGACTCACCAAATTGGCAATGGGTGAGTCAGTGATCTACTCCGGTCACCCAGAAGATAACCACACGCACACCGAGGGCGTGGCTATCATGATATCAACAAAGGCGCTGATGCAATGGGAAGCGATCTCGCCCAGGATAATGACCGCAAGATTCAACTCCAAGGGAAGGAAAGTGTCAATTATACAATGTTATGCACCCACAAACAACGCAGATTTCGAAAAGAAAGAAGAATTCTACAGACAACTACAGGCAACAATGGACAATACTCCAGCTGGCGACATTAAAATACTAATGGGAGACATGAACGCCAAACTGGGACCAGACATCACACAGAGGGAACTCATCATGGGTAGAGAAGCTCTAGGAGAAATGAATGAAAACGGAGAACTCTTCGCTGACTTCTGCGCCTTCAACGAACTAGTGATTGGTGGCAGTGTATACAAGCACAAAGATATCCACAAGGCTACACGGGTGTCACCAGACAGGCGAACCAAAAACCAAATTGACTTCATCTCAATCTCAAGGAAGTGGAGACGCAGCCAACTGGACACAGAAGTAAGAGGAGGAGCAGACGTTGGCTCAGACCACTATCTCGTACAAGGGACAATCCAAATCAAATTAAAAGCTTTCAGAGAAGGAGGAGCTGCAGACAGACCACAAGTCAATTTCAATACTCAAAAACTGAAGGACCATGATACAAATGACATCTTCATTGCAAACAAAAGGAACAAAGCCGAGACACAAGACTACACTAGCGAAGAGGTTGGCGTCGAAAAGCACTCGGACAACTTGAAAACGGTGTGGAGTCAAACCTGCATGAAAGTTCTAGGCAGAAAGAAGAGGTGGGACAAACAGTGGCTCACTATGGACACTTGGAAACTAATAGAAGAGAGAAGGATAGTGAAACAAAAGATTATTCAGTGCACCGACGAGCAACAAAACAGGAGTTGAATGCAAGCTACAACACGCTGAACAAAATAGTGAAGAAGAGTGGCAGGGGAGACAAAAGAAAATATTATGAAACCATGGCAAGTACAGCAGAACAAGCTGCAGGCAAAGGAGACCTCTCCACATCTACTAAACCACCAGGTACCTATCGGGCAAAAGTTCGACACAGATTAAGCCAGTGAGGGATGACAGTAGAAAGTCAATCACCAAGGAGGTGGAGCAAAGAAAACACTGGGCTGAACACTTCAAAAGACTTCTAAATCGACCGCCACCTACAACGCGCCCAACAATACCAACAACGGAAGCAGAACTACCAGTGAATATCGACAGCCCGATGAAATCAGAAGTCCTGAATGCCATCAAGATGCTAAAAGCTGGAAAAGCAGCAGGACCAGATGGAATCCCAGCAGAAGCATTGAAAATGGACCCAGAGACAACAGCGGACTTGATGACGCCATTGCTGGAGAAGGTGAGGTAAGAAAGTGGGCAAATTACCTGAGGATTGGAAGAAAGGATACTTATTCAAACTACCAAAGAAAGGAGACTTAAGTCAATGCAAAAACTGGCGCGGAATCACTCTCCTGTCCATCCCAAGCAAAATACTAAGCCGAATAATCCTTGAGAAAATCGAACAAGCCCTACATGAATAACTTCAACCGGAACAAGCTGGATTCAGGAGAAACAATTCATGTTGTCAGCCACGTCTCATAAACCATTGATGCCCAGGTCTTGCTACGCTCGGGCCCACGCTGTTCCTTGCAGTTTTTCAGAAACGCTTAGTAATAACGGACGAATAAACCAAAAGAACGATTGGCCATTCGAGGATTCTTTATTGTTACACCAACGTATAAAAATAATGTATTTACTAGGGTCTGTGAATAAATATTACAATAATAAATCACAAGATTACTTCTGATGGTTTACTGCTGACTTCTTTCTGAACAGCGACCGATGAGACGATGACTGTCGTATTGATGCCTCCGCGAAAATTGGGGAAGTTGATTTTGAGCAAACAACCATGAATTGATCGTTCAATCTTCAACTCCATTGACACTCCCCGGCAAAAAAGGGATCCATCCACTTTTACCATCATGACCAATACACGTTGACTTGGATGCCATTGCGAGAACCTGGGTCACACGGACAGAGCTGAAACAGAAAGCAAACAGAAAAGCCGACATACCACAAGCATACACACAGCACAATCTCACACATCCCTGACGACCTGCGCCTCCAGACAGAGACCTCCTCTTGACATCTTGCAACACAATCGCCATTTGCTAGAATGACTCTTGCAGAATGCAAAGAGACCATGGCAGCACCTCATGATACTCTACGCACATCCTCTTAATTACTCACTACCAATTACCACTGAAATCGCTTGTCACTCATTCTGCCTCAATTCTAGTAACGATGACGTATGCGAGCCTCAGTCGTATACACTATTTCTCCCCGGCGTGTGGGACCGCAGCTAACAATTATCTCCGTGTGCATTTCATTCTCAACAATAGTCTCCCTGGCGTATACGATCCATCTGCTGTCTCTAACATCAATCAATTCATTCACGGATGTGGAAGACTCGAAACAACTTCAGAAGTAATCACGACGAAAATTTTAACAAAATCACGTAATAACAACTTACGAAAACAAAGAGTAAACACAATGAATCCAAAAACACCAACTGATATGACACACCGAACGTATATACAAACAGTACGCACAATCTCGCAGTTCGTGCCTTGATGGAATTCCTTTGAAGAATTAATAATAATAATATATATTCTCATTTTTTACATGAGGGACGCCAGTTTACAGGCATCATCAATTCGATAATTTACACATAATATTAA